CTCCACAGGAGAGATTTCATGCCTGGTACAGTAAACCTAGTCAAGAATCTATGAGTTGAGAAATCATAAGTCCTGGACGGGGCATCTACTATTGTTTTGCTAAGTGATCATAGTGTCAATCTGCCTTCAAAATATTTTTGTTATTACCCATAGATTTGTGCTGCTCTCAACTTTGGTCAGAGAAGCTTTCTTCAGCAGCTACTAGTTAATGCAGTGACTCATAACTGGTTTAGCTGCCAAGTATAAATAACTATGAATGTTCAGCTATTGATGAGTCATCTTTATCAACCTTCCCTCTTCCAAGGTTCAGAGAATACCATGAAAGAGGGGGAAGACAGGATGTAAGAGTTAAGAGTTAAGAGTTAGCAGTTGGGGAAGAGAGCTATGAAATGCTGACATCACTTCTGGACATGACAGGGTTGTTGTACACATCAACTCACAACAGCCGTAATTACCTGCACAAGACCTACATAAGATCAAGCCAGTCAAAATTCCAGCATGGATAGGGAAGGAGCCCCTGCCAAGGCCTCACTCCTAGCTGAGGAGCTACTGAGATTTGATAGCTTCTGGGGGAGGAAGAGTCATTCTCCTTTGGGAATGTGGGCACTGGTAGGTTGTGCATGCCCCAGTAGATGACCCCACACCTGTATACATTTTGGCAGCACTAACTGGATTCAGGAAGTTATTCATAACTATTAAAAAGACCATGGAGTTAAGAGGGAGACAGAGTTGGGGGAGGCAACTAGGGGAAACAGGAGAGAGGATTGTCAAAATATATGAAACTTTCAAAGAATAAGAATATTATTATTATTTTGTCCTTTTTGAGACAGGGTCTCCCTGTAGCTCCAGCTGGCCTGGAACTCACAGTGTAGACCAGGCTGGCCTTGAACTCATAGAGATCTCCTGCCTCTGCCTCCCGAGTGCTGGGACTAAAGGTGTGTGCCACCACACCTGGCTAGACTACTATTTTTAAAAATATGTAAATTAATACATGTGGATTGTTCCAATAAAACTTTATTTACAGAAATAGGCAATGGGAAAGTTTGTGCCTATGAGCTATAGTTTACCAAAGTGTTTTAGATTGTTAGTCTATATTCCAGATTTTAAGAAACTTTAGATTTACACTGATTCAAGGGTTATCATTAAGAGAAAGGGGGCTGTAGAGATGGCTAATTGAATGAAAGTGTTTGCTGCTCTTTCAGAGGACTCCAGTTTGATTCCTAGCACCTACCTGGGTTGACTCATAACCACCTATAACTCCAGCTTCTAGGGATCTGACACCCTTTTCTGGCCTCTGAGGGTGACTACACACATGTGACAGATGCAGACACACAGACAAACACACACACAAAATTAAATAAAATAAATCTTGTTTTTTAAAAAAGAGACTATCTACAAGGATATATTTATCATCTGTTCATAAAATAAGATTAAAAAAAAAAACTTTTCAGGGCCTGTAAAGATGGTTCAGCAGCTAAGAGCTCTTGCTGTAGTTGCAGAGGACTGGAGTCTCTTTGCTAGCACCCTTATCAGGTGGCTCACAAGTGCCTGTAACTTCAGCTTCAGAGGATCCAAAGCCCTCTTCTGGCCTCTGCAAGCACCTCTCACACATGTACACACAGACACACACACACACACACACACACACACACACACACAGACATACACACAGAGATGCACACACAGCACAACCAAAAAAATTAAATCAAATTTCAAAGAATAAAAAAACTTGTAAAATATGTACTTCACACACCTTTTTACAGAAAAGAAAAATGTGTAACAGATTTGAAAAATAGCCAGTTCCACTAGCCCCCAATCCCAATTGTCACAATCTAAAAGCTTTATTGTAGGAGTTGGAGAGATATCTTAGTCAGTGGTTAAGGGCACTGGTTGCTCTTGCAGAGGACCAGGCCCAGTTTCTAGCACCCACATGGTAGCTAACAACCACCTGTACCTCCAGAGGATTAGACACTGCCTTCTGGCCTCTGTAGGCATTGCAAGCATGTGGTGAACTTACATACATGCAGGCAAGTACTCATATATATAAAATATAAATTAATTAATTTTTAAAAATTTTTTGTTTATTTTTATGTGTATGAGTGTTATGTAGGCATGTGTGTAAGTACACTCATGTCATGCAATGCCTGAAGAGGACAGAAGAGGGCTCTGGATTCCCTAGAATTGGAATGACAGTTGTTAGCTGCCATGTGGGTGCTGGCATTCAAACATGGGTCTTTTGCAAGAATAGTCTGAGCTCTTAAAGATTGAGCCATCTCTCCAGCTGTAATAAATAAATAAATTTTAAAATTGAAAAATAAAAGTTTATTACAAAGAGGTACAAGGTACACATGAGTAACTCTGGAGATAGAAACACACTGTCATCAGCCATGTCATAAACACTGTCAGCCATGTCATAAAGCATCCTTGGTATACTAGACCCTGCACAATTAGATGGAGTTTCTAGCTACTTCTCAGATTTCTTACTGCAGAATAAAAGGTTTCCATGGAAAACTCTCAAAGGCCTATTTCATGGAATAATCTAAAGACACACGTGTGCATGCTTATACATAAACACAATCATGCAAAGTTTCCAAACTTCAGGCCAGATCAAGAAATCTGTAAAAAATCAACAGCAAGCTGTAAGTGGTAGTACACAACTGTAATCCTAGCACTCAAAAGGCGGACACAAGAGAATCTCTTCGAGTTCAAAGCTAGCTCGGGCTATACAGTAAGTTCAGTGTCAACCTGGACTACAAAATGAAGCCCTGTCTTACCTCTCCCTATCCTGACCCAACTTCTGACAACTAAACATATTTCAGTGAGTAATAATTTTTCCTATAGTATACAGAAGTTACCGAAGCCAGGCATAGTGGTAGGCACCTTCAATCCTAACACTCAGGAGAAGAAGCAGAGGCAGTAAGATGATCGAGGCCTGCCTATTATAGGGAATTTCAGATCAGCCAGAGCTACATACACAGTGAGACCCTGTCTCAAAAAAAAAAAGTGCACCAAAATATTAAAAATAATAGTTGTCAGAATTAGTTTAATTGAAACTTAAAATACAGCATAAGAACATTAATTATGGTAATAGTGGTAATAGCTTTACATTTTTCCATATTTTCCAGTAGTTTCTCAATTTGCATTCACTAGTGTTTACAATCTGAAAAATAATTCACTCACTCAGCAGGTGAAGGCTCTTGCTACCAGGCCTGGCAAACTGAATTTGATACCCTGGATGCACATGGTAGAAGGGGAGAACTGGTTTCCTCAATATGATTCTCTCTCTCTCTCTCTCTCTCTCTCTCTCTCTCTCTCCTCTCCTCTCTCCTCTCTCCTCTCTCCTCTCTCTCTCTCAAAAACCTAAAATGCAATAAAAATCTTTTAAATTTATCTGATACTCAGCACATTGCATAACTTTTCTAAACCTCCTTAGATTAACTCAGTGGCACAGTGACTACTGTATCACTAGTTCATAATTGAGATACTCTCATAGTAGGTAGTCAAGAAATGTGCCAAACAACTTGAGAAAATTCTCAGTTCAGCAGGTAACCTATTGAAGGCATTGAGCACTAAAAACTTCCGACAAAGTCCTTCTCGTCTTTGTTTGTGATATCTGCTATAAGCACGCAAAACTATTTGGCTTTATTACACTCCACAGTTATGTTTCACAGCTGTGCTTTTGTAGCTGTGAAACTTAGTCCTCCGATTACATCTTAACTGTTTACATTTTAGCTGTGAAATAGGATTTTGTTTTTAGCTAGCTAGCAAGAGAACTTCTGTTATACCAGTTTCAAAAGCTGTCACCTCAGAAATAGCAACTTTAAATAGATCAAAGTGTACTCTGCTCTTTCTCATGAGATGATATCTGCCATGTAATAATTAGATTAAATATTTAAATGATTTTATCATTTTCTCCTTAGAAATCTCTATTATATATATTCTGAACAATGAAAATACTCAATGTAGGAATATTGCTCAGTCTTTAGTCCTTGTCCATCCTTAAAACTCTTTTTCATATATACATAAGCACAAGAAAATGTTTTGCTAAGAAACAAACATATAGCTTAATGTGCAAAACAAGACTTAATTTGCTTAGCAGGGTTATTTAAAGTCTGAGGCCTTGGAACTTGAAGAGAGGTCTCTGGCAGGTGTGAAATGCTAATTCTTGGGACCCATGTCAGTATTTCTCCGATCTGCCTTTAAAAAGCATGCTATGTCTACAGTATATTTGAGAAGCATCAGTCGACCACTAGATATTTTCAGCAAGAGTTTTGGATATAATACGCAAGCTGTGCCTTCACAGAACAAGACTGGTTGGTCACAAATATACTTCAATGTTTGCATTTGATACTGTGTCCCTCCCAGTATAGCCACATTTGGGAGTGGTTCACTTATGACCTAAAGCTCAATCACTGACACTATGTTTGGAAGTCCCCTTTGGGACTCAGTAAAACTCACAAAATCAATGTCATTACTTTTAGTTTTGCTTCTTTCTGGACCAAAAACGGCACTGATTATACTCAGAACACTAAGGCAAATAACATTAAGCTTTTTCCAAAAATCAAATCCATTTTCAAGTATAAATATTTGCTCTTTTTGGGAATAATAAAAAGATTGGTCCATCAGCTCTGCAAAAATGAAAAAGAGGGGGCTGGAGAGATAGTTCAGTGGTTAAGAACACTGGCTGTTCTTGCAGAAGACCTAAATTCAAATTCCAGCACCCACATGACAGCTAACAACTGTCTGTAACTCCAGTTTCAGGGGATCCGACAGCCTCTTCTGTCCTCAACGGACATTACATGACACAGGTGCACTTACATGAAGGCATAACACTCATACACATAAAATAAAAATAGTAAATAAAAAAATGAAAAAAAGAATTTAAAAATGTTTGAACAATGGCAGCATGATTATGTTATAGAGTGTAACTCCTTTAGAAAGGAACATTTTCACATATACAATGAAGTTATGCCTTTGATATTTATTAAAACAGGGTGTCCCACTGGAGGACCAACTGGCAGGATGACCTGCTGAAGACCTAAGTGGTGCTTTGTTACTGTCACCTTAACATGAAGATACCACAGCATTTCCTATTCTATCCTTAAAAGAAGGAATCTTCATGATGGAAAGGAGATGCTCCCCCACCAGATCCTGAAAGTAAGCAGACATTACTCTTGTTCGTGGTCCTGAGATGTATTACCAGAGGAAGGGAGAGAATAGATTCTTTGTTTGGGGACCAGGGAAAGGGAAGATTGCTGACCTCTGTGGGTGAATCCCCAGGGGTCAAATTCAGGACAGTTGATTTTGAGAGAATGCTCTCCAGCACAACATGCATAGGACAGGGGATCACATGTAAAACCTAAGGATGGGCACCAAGATTTGAGTTATGGGAAAATCACTCCCATGCAAAGGATTAGCTCAGTGTACAGGGTTGTCCAGTAGAACATGATGACAGGTCAAAATTCCAAAGCCCCAGAAGACAGGGTATTAGGGTCCTTATAGAAAAGGAAGCTCCCTGAAAAGCAATTTCCTGTAAAAGAATTCTGTAGACCTTCAGAATTCTTCTAAAAGAAGAGAGGAAGGCATTCTTAGAGTGTGCTATTGAAGTTCATGCCTATCAAAAAGATAAGATTTAAGTCAATTCTGATTCTACTCAGAAATTGAAAACAGAAATGACAATGCCTGCAGCCCAAGTATTGCAGAATACATCACGCCTATGACATTTTCTAGTCATGCCTGCCATAGGTGTTAAATAAAGACTCTTACAGGAAAAAGTTGTCAAGGTGGTCAATTTTATGAATAGCCACTGTAGAAGTCAATAAAGTGTGAGGATGGAGTGAAGCAGTGTATCACCAACCTGCGGTATAGAGTGCAACAATCCAAGTAAGGGGCAATCAGCCCAAGGAATAGGGAGTGTGTAATATCTGTTCAGCCATTTAACTGTATTCACAGAGTTTTTTCTGTATAATATATACTGTTCCAGGTGTTAAGAGTGTAAAAAGCATTCTACCAGTAACTATCAGTTTCATACTACTGAGGAAGAGGTAAATAAACATGTAGCCTTATAGTACCAATAAAAGTTAAAGAAAAATGGGCAAGTTTATTATTTTGAGAATCAAGTCTATCTAGAACTTTACTATGCACAGTATTCTTGGGAAAGTTGTATGAGCCCTGTGAATCTCATTCTCTTTATCAGTAATTACTGAATCGAAGTACACAAACATTCACTTCATGTTAATTGTTGTTCCTGTTCAAAATGAGGTATGTAGTCTTGAGATAATTGATCAAATCTATCTGTATGATTAAAGAAGGTTTCAATCAACCAGAGATGCATTTGAATGTTCTTGTGCAGGATGAATGTGATCTGCCAGGTAAAGAGGAGGGAAACAGCATTCTGGATAAAGCGAACAACATGGGGAAAACCACAAAGGCACTAGGTAGGTGGCTCAATCAGGAATGAAAGATGGTTTAAATATGATAATAAGAGATCTTGGAAAGGGGGCTGAGGTGATGATAAAAATGTAAAATGGGGCTATAGTATATCAGGCCGTAGAATCTATATACCATGAGTAACTTACTATCAAATGCTAAAGGAAGATGCATTAGTCATTATTTGTTAATGAAATACTTGAGTTAGGCTACTTTATAAGGAAATTTATTTTTGCTTACAGTTCTGAAGATGCAGGGTTAAGGGGCTGTATCTGGTAATTTTTCTTAGTGGCAGAGTCCTGAAAAGGTCTTAGAGCATTATGAGGCAAGAGACAGGGCTTGGGGAGGACACACATGTTTTCTGGTCTCCTTCCTTATTATGAAGTCACCACAGTTCAGTCATGGGGATTCCATTCTGATGAATGTACCCAATCTTAGTCATCTCACAAAGAGTGCACCTCTTATACTCTAGTCACATCATGTTTCCACTGTCTCAGCCTGTTGTCATGGAGACTAAGTCTCAACACATGGATACTTGGGGAACACTCAAAATATCCAAACCATGGCAGAAGAACAGGACCTGAGAAAGATCTTCATGGTGGCATGCAGACACTATCTGGGAAGAGGACAAGTAGGTAGAGCATGAAGAACAAGATATATCTAAAAAGAATAAAAAACTCAACTAGAAAAACCATAGGGAATCTGTGGGTTGGGAGGCAAAGAGGCCAGCCAAGGCTTTTTTTTTCTGTTACCTGTTGATTTTAGTCCTTTAAAAGTATTATAAATAAGCTGGGCGTAGTGGTGCAAGCCTTTAATCCCAGCACTCGGGAGGCAGAGGCAGGTGGATCTCTGTGAGTTCAAGGCCAGCCTGGTCTACATAGTGAGTTCCAGGACAGTTGGGGCTACAGAGAGACCCTGCCTCAAAAAGACCAAAAAAAAAATCTATTTAGAGCCCTTCTTAAATGCATAACAGTACAATAAAGCCTTTACACCTGGCCTTTAATCCCAGCACTAGGGAGGCAGAGGCTTAGTGGATCTCTGTGAGTTGAAGGCCAGCCTGGTCTACATAGTGAGTTCCAGGTCAGTCAGGCTATCAGTAAGGCACTGTCTCAAAAAAACAAAAAAAAATAAAATAAAATAAAATAAAGCCTTTAGTTTTATCTTGCTGGAATCCTAGTAAGTAAGAATTTGGGACAATGAGAAAATGAACAGAAAATGAGGCTAGTTGCTTTGAATAATCATTTGACTGAGCTATCTTAGCCAATGAACCTGTAGGCCTTGATGACCACATTTTTTACATGATATTAGAGTAAATACAGGAAATTCAATCTCTTTTAAATGTTAGCCACTTGGGATGTCTGTTGACATTTTGCAAAGCAAACCATAAATGTACTTAAACCAATGAGTAAAACATTAAAATTAAAAATCAGCCTATCTTTTCTCCAAGTACCTTTTTCAAATGGCACAGAGAACTTTACACAAGCTCCAGGCACCTCTGTATTTAATTCCTAGGGGCAATGGTATTCATCAGTACATTAAGCAACCTGGTCAGGTAGTGCTGAGTCAACCTGGCTCTGGAACTCTCCTTACTTGTGAATACAGCACATAGGCCTTGAGATGTCAGTGTTCCAATATGATGATAAGGCACTCACTTATGCTGCTTTACAGGAGAAAGAACTGGAGTTTAAAAAGCCAGAGCTACCAATTTAGATTATGCTACTGTAACACTCTCGAACAGAATCTCATTTTAAAAGACAGTGCCTAGAAGAAAAAAAGGCTTAATCTGAGATTGTGGAAGTGGTGCTCCTTTGAAAGGTGCTTCTTCTTCTTCTTCTTTTTCTTTTTATATCTTTTTTTTTTTTTTCGTTTTCATTAGGAACCAAGCATTGGTACTAAGATTGCACCTGTTTATTTATATCACAAAGTACAAAGGTGATCTCTTAATGGGAGAACTTGCCATTGAATCACTGGATGTGTGAGCCTCAGAGGAGCTTAGCTTGGACATGATTATGGAAATAACAATTGCAGCATTGAGGACAAAAGTTAGGAGATGTGCTTCTAAACTATCTTATTTGAATAAAGGACTGCAAATTAACTTATTGGAGGAAATGATCACTTTCTCAAAATCTTTAAAGTGTACTAGGAAACACAAAGTTTGTATGTGGTAATTAGCTTAACAAGGAAAGTGGTAGATGCCATGATCAATACACTTTGGCAGGATTAATGAGTGAAACTATAGCAGCAAGAAGCCTATAGTTTATAGGCACTTCTTGCTGGAGGACTCTTGAAATCACAGCAACATGTTTGCTCTTCTCCTCCTTTCTAAGTGATGAAATTATGATACACACAAGGTAGACTCTTCCTCATGGCCTAGAACCTTAAAGTCAAAATATAGCATTTACATTTCTTGACTTATAACTTTTATAACCTTTACTTAAGAATTTACCCAAGGGGGGGTGGAGAAATGGCTCAATGGTTAGGCACACCCAGTGCTCTTCCAGAGAACCCAGGTTCAGTTCCCAGCACCCACATGGTGGCTAAGAACCATCTGAAACTGTAGTTTCAGGGGATCCAATGCCCTCTTCTGGCCTCTGCGTGCATTGTAGGCACATGGTACACTTACATGCAGGTGAAACACTCACACAAAATAAAAATAAGTAAATAAAAAGAGAATTTATCCAAAGTAAATTCCTGGTGCTCACTTTTTTTTTTTTTTTTAACTATTCCCATTGCAGAATAGTTAAAAAAAACTTGTGTTCCTAGAGTCATTTCCCAGAGGGTGGTGCTATTACAACTAAAACTAGGGATGATATTCAAAGTCTCATGTATAACAAGTGGATACAATTTTAAAATAAAAAGCCAGCCTCTTCTACCACTGAACTAGGATTAGAGGACAGCAACTCCTTTGACCTCAGTAATGTCACTTTTCAAAGCTGGGATTGTCCTCCCATTCACTTTGAGCCATAGTCAGAAGGTAATTGATCTATGGACATTTGTTCACTTCATTTCTTGCACATTATTGTTAGTACAACTGAATTTAGCAAAGAGAACATTCAAAACTCAGGATAAAATGAGAGAATTTAAAAATAAATAAATCTCTCAGCAGCAAGTGTTATAAACTGTTGCTATCTGACTTTGGAACTATGAGGCAGACATTAAGGAATGCTTAAACAACTGTAGGCTTGCTTTGTGCATGAGCTGAGTACCAAGTCTGTCAGCTTCTCAGAACACCATGAAGAAAAAAACAAAAGGAAGCCAAACCCTAAGGATGGAAGGTATAGATAAGGGTTTGGAAGTGTTCAGAATGCCTTTGCTGGTGAGGCAAAATTATCCTGTGTGGAACCTGTGGGAACTATGGCTGCCAGTAAAGCTCAATTTGACTTCTAAGGGCAAAGGTTAAACTTTCTATAAAGATCTTGGAAATATTTACCATCAAGACATAGTTCCAGGCAAGGAAAACATGTTCATCATCAACCAGTTTCTCTAGCTAGTCTTTCTGATTCACCTCACTGCAACCAAGTTAGCACAGAGCAACCTGCAAAAGACTTGAACTTGTGCTTTTTCCTATACATTTGGCTGATAGGCTACAACACTACACAATATTTAATACCAGATTGGAGACTGAGTTCCTGAGCAGAGGTCAGAGGTACTTAAAGGACAGGTTTTTTGCTCCTCACCCTCCAAGGTCAGCTAAGTTCCAGGGGACTATGGAGCATCTCTTAAAATGTCCTGTAACTGTGATGCATCACCTGTCCTCTTGTTCAGGGAGGCCATGGAGACCCCACCAGATGGTCTTGAACAAGTGTCCAGTCGACGAAGAGGAGGATCAACTCCGAGAACACATTTCCTCCATGCTTCCAAGTAAAGCCAGCCATAGTCGAGCAGGACCTTTGACTTATCTTCACATAGATGGAACTGGTAAAAGAAAGGAGCCAGGGGCTCCTCCCAAGCCCATGTGACCCCTGAGGAGCAGATCCTCAAATGACCATAAGAGTAAAAATAAATTGGTTTATTTGTGCCAGCTATATGGTCTTAAACACTCAAAAGGAAAATATAACCAAAAAGTAAAGTGATCAGTATATTTCTTTAAGAATTCAAGGGATTACACTTTCCAGACATTAGGCTTATGTTCATATAAAATGTTAGACAATTATTTCTCATTGATGATTTCGTTTCTAAGCAGAAAGTGCTGCTCAGATGTACAACTTCAAATCTTGGTCTGCAATACTGAAGTGCTCACCTGTAGCTAAAGGAGACAACCCACTATTGTTCTAAAATGATGACTAAATTTGTTTTCTCCCCCTATTTAGAAGCCTTTGAGAGGGAACCAGCACTGATTCTAGCCACTCCAACAGCTATCAAAATGCCTGAAAGCAAATCCTGAATCCATCACTCTCGAGTCCAGCCTTGGCAGACAAAAGAAAAATGAGAAGGAACCCAATAGAGGGATGCTTTTGGAAGTTCTCATCAATTCCAATGGACTCTGATACAAACATTTGAAATTTGCCTGTTCTGACTTTTTTCTGGTTCCCTGTCTAGAACTTGTAATGCTAACTACTCTTACCTTTACTTCTCATTCACATCTCCTATTCACCAAGGACTTCTTTTCTCCCTACAGCTAAGAGTTATGCAATTTGAGAGTCTTTTAGATAGATCCACTGAAGGGGTACCTCAATTGCCTCACCCTGCATCCCTGTTTAGCATGGAAGAAGCCAGATCGGTCTGCATCTTGATTCCCTAATGGCAATTTGGGTAACCTCTTCAGAGAATGGTGTGATAAGAATAGGAGGTAGAAATTGGCTAGGCAGTTAGGGTACAAAGACCCCAAAGAAAAGTAGCCAGTCTCTTGGCTAAAAGTCAAAATGTCCTTGGGCCTCTTAGCAACATATTCTATTCCAAAGGCCAAAAATGTCAAAAGTGGGGCTGCAGAGATGGCTCAGTGGTTAAGAACACTGGTTGTCCTTGCAGAAGACCCAGTTTCAAATCTCAGCACCCACGTGGGCAGCTAACAACTGTCTGTAACTCCAGTCCCAGGGGATCTGACAGCCTCTTCTGACCTCCGCAGGCACTGCATGACATGGATGCACTTACCCACAGTGATGGGGAGATAGGGGAGGAGTTGGAGGGAAAGGGAGTGACATGGATTTGATCAAAACACCTTATATGCATGTATAAAATTCTCAATAATTTGTTTTTAAAGTTGAAAAATAAATGCATAAAGGATCTTGAAGCTAGAGAGATGGCTTAGTGGGTAAGAGCACTGGCTTTTCTTGAAAAGGAGCCAGTTTGATTCCCAGCACCCACATGGTGGACAACACTGTCTGTAACCCCAGTTCCAGGGGATCTGAGGCCCTCTTCTGACTTCCTCTGGCCCAACACCGGTGCACTTACATATATGCAGAATATACTCATATACAGAAAATAAAAACAAATTAATTAAAAAATTTTTTAAGTATATAGGTTCTCAAAGCAGTGAATATAATAAATATATAATAATAATATAGCTTGAAATTTTAATTCAAGATTTATAAAAGCTTCTCATGGTCTATACTTTTCTTTCTCTCATTCTGGAAAATTATCTCCTGAACATTCCTATCATGCTTCTGCTCATCACAATCAAAAACTTAAATTTAGCTTCAGTGTCAGCCCTTCCATGAAGTCTTCCCAGACTGCTCTGTTTCCTCACAATCTAGTGTTCTTAAAGAAATAAGTTTTATTCATACAGCTAAAATCTTTATGACTAAAAGATCTCTTTATCCCTTTTGCAATTGGCGCTCATCCTTCTCTGGCTTGTTCTTTATGCCATTTAAACCACGTGATTATGTAACTTCTGGTTTTGTGGTTTGTCAAAATGTTATGTTAAGCCGGGCGTGGTGGCGCATGCCTGTAGTCCCAGCACTTGGGAGGCAGAGGCAGGCGGATCTCTATGAGTTCAAGGCCAGCTTGGTCTACATAGTGAGTTCCAGGACAGCGGGGGCTACAGGGAGACCCTGCTTCAAAAATAAAAAATGTTATGTTAACAGGCATTATCATTGCATTAATATCACATGCATTCTCTTGCAATTTGCCTTTTCAACCGACATTACTTTCAAAACAGCCCATTCACTTTTAATGGCTGCAGAGTATTTCACCATAGGAATGCATCAGTATACTGTTACATTGCAGTCTGAAAGACATCTAAGCTGTACAATGCACAGCTTAGCTGATGAGCAACTCCAGGACAGAAGTATTAACAGTTTCTGCTTCTTTTCCTCACTTCCTCAACACCTAAGAATTACTAAGCACATAATGTGCTTTGAATAAAGGTGATGCTGTGTGCCTGGTACACAATACACCCTCCATAAAAATGTGCTGAGTGAATAAATGTTGGCTAAGTGTGATTTTAAATCCTGTCCTGTCTTCTAGTTTCTTCATCGGTAAGATTTGAGGGGGGACTACCTCAATCCTCTCTAGAAAGTCCTGAAGGTATTTCAGGGTCGACAGGAGACCAGAGAAACAAGGTTACTTCTCAGTTCCCCTGATTCCTCCTTAGAGGATCTCAAAGCACTGTACAATCGGGATTTTCTCCAGTGACAGTTTCCCCACCCATTTGTCTCAAGGTCAGCTCAGAGCAGTATTCAAAACTTAGTATCTTATAGGGTGTGCCCTAAGGGCCAGGGTCACTGTCTGGATGTAAATAACAAGGTTGCTATTCCTCACGGAATTGAATTTTTCTTTCCTTGCGCCTGGTTCATGCTCTGACAAATCGCGTTCCAGGAGCTTGCTAATTTAACTGCCGCCTTTAGCAGGTCCCGCGCCCCTGCTCGCCCTCCCTCTCGCCCCACTCCCCACTCTTCCTGCTCCTAAGTAGATGGGATGCTCTTTGACCGCCTCCCCAGTGCTTTGTGACTATACACTGTAGCCCGGGGCATACGGAACCATCTATCATCATCCTGTCTCTGGACGTGACCAGTACTTTGCTTCAAAAAAAATTAATCTGATGTTTAGGGAGAGACAGCCATTGCACAGTCCACATGCACAGCCTTGCCGCAGACCCTGCAGCTGCGTTTTCGACGCCTCTGGCTTCAGTTCAGCAAGCTTCAAACTTGACCTTCCAGAGGCCTTCAAAGGCAAAAGCTTTCTCCCTCTCCCTTGCTGGCTCCTAGGGCGAGCGTGGGCCTCCTTGTGGGAAGCAGCCGCCTAGACCAGAGCTGGGAACTGCACGTCGAAGCGCGGGAGCTGCGGCTGGGTGGGGGCTGGGGAGCTGGCGGGAAGGGGCCGGAGGAGGTGGTGGGAGGAGGATGGATCCGTGTGCATATGCAAGAGGCATCCGCTTGGCCCTTCACTCCCGCAGCTGCGGGGGCGGAGGCGGAGGAGGAAGGGGGAGGGGAGGGAAGGCATAAGATGGGGCGGGGCAACGAGAACAGCAGCTACCCGAGGACGCAGCTTGCAGGAACGGAAGAGGTGATTTGCATGGCGCCCAGTGATTGGCTGAGGCCCGGGGGCTGGGTCTGAGCGGAAGCCCCTGAGTGGTTTCTCATTGGAAATCATAAGGTCCTTTGGTTTCAGAGCCGGGACCCGCCTGGTGGGTGCAATATGAAGTCTGGCCGCAAGGGGACGCGATGTCCTATCTTTGTTCTGGTTAAAGGTTCCTTTTCTGTTCTCCCCACCCCGTCCTGCCTCCACCCCCCACACGCAGATTCACACGCAGAAAGTGCAGAGAAACCCTGTGATCCAGTCAACTGGCACTGCCCCGTCTATTAAGAAAGATGAACGCTTCTTTCTCTTCCATCTCCTTCATGGGAGACCACTTTTCATTTCAGATTATCACATCAATAAATATTCTTCGAGGAACAAAATAGGCACTTTGCCAAAAGATAAGAGAATATATACGAAATGTGTGGATTGTAGAAAGGCGAAACACCGGAGGCAGGAGAATAGGCGTACATATGTAAATAACGCACATAATCACATCCAGAACACAAAACACAAGCGGCAGAGACAGGCAGGACACCCGGGGAGAACAAGGATCGCTCCCAAGGTTCTCAGAGGCTGCATGCTCCCTACATGCAGAGACACACACCCACTGACAAGCCCACTCTTCCCCAACACGGAGGCACGCACACTTGCACACACACAAGGACCTCAGAAAAAGCATCCACACGAATTCACACGCAGTAAAAAAAAGATTGATGGGAAAATACTAGAATAGAATTAAAATGGCTCATCCCCTCCCCCTCCAAAATATAGTCAAGCGGAATGATTCTATTTGCATAATACTAATATAGGCTCAGGACGACGACAGGGGCAAAAAAAATGGCTCCATTTGAGGCATACACTAGAGAATGCGTGTATACAACACACACGCACGCACGCGCCTGCGGGCCCCGACACACCCACAGCCTGTGTCCTCCGCCCACGGGCACAGGAGGAGGACAGATGCCGTCAACAACGCTCAGTACAGTTGGGGGGCACCCTACCCGTCTAAGGAGCCCTCTAGAGAACCAAGGTTTTCTAAACACCCACACCCACACACCCCTATTACACAAGTGAGTTGTGTTTAAAGAAGTAATTGATGAACTGTAGATAACATGGTGCTGGAACACACCAGCTTAAACAATACTTCGAAATGACTTCAGCCTTGAAGACAGCTTTCTCAAATGCTCCTACAGAAAAAAAAAAAAATCATACCTGAGAAAAATATTTTCCCATTTACTCTGCTTCCCCTTTATTTTCCTTCTCTTTCTTTTTTGTCCTTCCTTATTTTACAGGGAGAGGAGAGAGCATTTTTCTCTTCCTCCAAAAGAGCATAGATAGCTGGTTTTG